CCTCTCCAAACTGGTTTCGCAGTGAAATAACTGCAAGGTTTTTAATTATTATTTGCATTAGTAGAATAAGACCTTTTCCTTAACGCTGTAATCCGGATGCCGACTCCAGCAGCCCCCGATAATTGCCCCTTTCCCTGCCCCATCTGGGGCGGCTGCACAGTGAGCTGGATCCAGGCACTGAGCTGGGTTAAAAATAAGGTTGCAAAAAGAGTGTTATTTTTAACCCGGGTCAGTCCCCTGCTCGGGTTCACGGCGCAGCTGCCCAGCCTCTCACGTGGGTGCGCTGGCTTGGAGGCACGGGAGACAGCAAGAAGGAGCCATGGGGGGAACCAAGGGCTGGTTAAAGCCAGAGCACCCTGAAAGTTGCTTCTGAAGTGGATATTCCAGCTCTGAACTCAACTATGGACCCCCCCCCTCCATACAACTAGTCTTCCTGAAAGCCTTTTCCAGGACAATAGCACCACTGACAAAACTCCAGCAATGTTTAAGCACTTTTTGGTGGTGATGCCCTGTGTGGCTGACCTTTCCCAGAGTAAATTCTTTTCAAGTAAGTCTCATATTTGCTATCTATACAGCTAGCTTTATTCACAGTCTGGCCTAAACGTTTCAAATAAGTTTAAATATGTAGAACAAGAGAAAATAGTTTATGCAAATTACACTTTAGTTTTGCTTTGCAAGGTGTGCTGAAGATAGATGATCAGAGGAAAGGTCTGGCGGCTTATAACCGTGCACAGCACCGTAGTCGATTCAATATTTGAATCACAGCCGATGTGATGTTACGTCATTTAACTAATTTGTGGTGCCTGCTGTCCTGCAACTCAGAAAGGGGAAAAAGTTTGGACAATTTTTGGGGGTCTATTTATTGCACTAAAACTTGTCTTTACTTCAGGGGGAGATGGAAAACTGAATGACTCTGTTGGGTGATCGAGATGGATTTAATCCTTTCAATACTTAAAGAGAGCTTATAAGAAAGATGGGGACAGACTTTTTAATAGGGCCTGTAGCGATAGGACAAGGGGGAATGGTTTTAAACTAAAAGTGGGTGGATTTAGACTAGATCTAAGGAAGACATTTTTTACGCTGAGGGTGGTGAAACACTGGCACAGGTTGCCCAGAGAGGTGGTGGATGCCCCATCCCTGGAAACATTCCAGGTCAGGTTGGACGGGGCTCTGAGCAACCTGATCTGGTTGAAGATGTCCCTGCCCAGGGCAGGGCAGTCCAACCCCCCGTTGGACTAGATGACCTTTAGAGGTCCCTTCCAACCCAAACGATTCTATGATTCTATGATTCAGCTGCAAAATGTGCTGCCTGCGTAGTGGTGGGGGGAGCGGCTCTGCATCCCGCCAGGGCTCCGCCATGGGGCGAGGGACGGGTAGGGGCAGGGGCAGACAGCCCAGACATAGGAAGTACAAGTTACTCTTCAGGAGGAAAACTGGGTAACTTTGTAGTCTAATCAAAGTTAACAAACTGTTTGACTTCAGTTGCCACTGTATTACGTGGTTGTGGCATGCAGATGCAGCCCCTCTGGTGTGCCGATGCTTTCACAGCGTACCCCAAACAGCAGAGTAATGCTGAGGGCAGCTTAAGACAGAATTTTCTTGCAGTATAACACAGGTCAGCTCAGCTTAGCAAAAATGCTAATTACAAATCCTTGATGACAGAAAGTTAAGGAGCTTACGAGGAAAGGTTTAACACTAACTTCCAAAGGGATGCTGGCTCCCTGAGTTCAATACTGAAGAGTTGTGCTCTAGGTTTTAGCATAGATTGCCACCTCTTTTGGGGCAAACGGTGGGTTTGAACAAGTTTGCAAACAGTCCCTTCACCACTTGATCTCAGCGGATGGTGTCTAAGCGTTTCATACCGATTCCCACCCTCAGCCACGAGCCCTTTCCTTGCGCTTCAGCTGCAGCCGTGTTGCACAGATAAACCCCAAGCAGGCACAGCCAGTTCCTGCACCTCGGACCGGTGCAGGCAGAGCAGGCAGCGTGCCGGCAGCACCAAGCAGAGTCAGGGCTCTCCTGGGTTCGTCGGGCTGGTGCAGCACCTTCAGCTGATGTGACGGTGCAGTGCAAGGTCTGGCTTTGGGAGTTAGTTTTGGATCATTTTTGAAGGAAAGAGAAATATGCATTACAGGAATTGTCTGTCTGTGGGGTTTTTTTCTTGGTGTATCATCTTTCACGGAGCAACTGAACTACGAACTCCGCTGGAGGAGGGGACAGTCCTTCCTCTGGGCCATTTGCAGAAGAGCTGCAGGTGGAGGACACCCCAGGCAAAGCCTTAGAGAAGGCGTATCATGACTCTTTATAGACAAAAAGTGGCATAGTTGTGAGGACTTGTCCCAAAACTCACAGGAGGTGTGTAACGGGCAGGTACCGTTGTTTTCCAGAGTCAGAGCCATGCTCATATCATCAGGAGCTGAAGGCTAAAACCTGCTCTGGAAAGCAGCTCTCATGAGATTTAGTAAAGCAGGACAAGCTCTCCTGCCTCTTCGCTAGGTTGCAGCTGATTTAATTGGAGTATGGAATATCTTTTGCATTTTTATATTTTATTTTAAGTTGGACTCAAGCAGTGAGTGCTTGCTGGAAGATCTTTCTGCGACCTCATTAGGTGCTCAGCATTGTGGGGTTGGTGGCACAGCTCAGGTCCCAGAGCAAGGGAGCTCTGCGGGAGCATTCACTGCAAGCAGCAGATCAAGGACGCGTCAGGGTGCAAGAGGGCCAGCATGCAGCGATGCTGCGGGTACGTCACCAGGGATGAGCAAGATGATTTTGAATTCTTCCAGTGTTAAACTGTGCCTTTCACACCAGCTGAATTAGACTAAAGGTGCCAAGATTGATCTCTAGCGTAGTTAGGAGTAATTTCTTGGGGTGTGTGTAGAGCATCTGATTAATACTTAACTGCATTAAGTGTTAGCGTCTCTGATCGGGGTGTCTCTGCGATGCGCGCACACAGAGCTTCGAGATGGCCTCAGCGCATTTCTCATTCCTGCATCTGCTTGCCGATATAAATTTTAAACATGCCTCAAGCAAGACTTTGCACATTAAAAAGAACGCCATGCAGTTTGTGTTTCCATGGGAGGGGAGGGATCTCCTATTTCTGGTGCACTATAATTTGTTAGGAAGTGAACTCTTGACTCGTTTTTGTATGTGCAACTGGTGTACATGGGTTTCCTATGCTTTTTTTTTTTACTCCTGGCACTTTATAGGCTTCATCTTCGTAGACCTGGTATCATCAGACTGATACGTGCTTCAGTGCTGTTTGTATAGCGTGCAAAATCCCGTAGCCTCTTATGGGTAGTGCCAGCAATTCTGCATCTGGCATTTTCTGAGCTTTTCCTTGCCTCTTGTAGCTGAAGCGCTGTGCCCCATGCAAGGGGAAAAAAGCCATCCTGCCAGTCCTCTCCTACTGCAAGGAGACCCACACACCCAGAGTTTTACATTGGTATGATGCAGGCAGGCGGTGTCTAAACGTGGAAATCCTTGGTGCTATCATCACTTGTGTTTTTGTCTTGCTTGCTTGTGCCTTTGGAAGTGCAGGAGACTCCAGGGTAAAAAAGTGTGAGCGTTGGGGGTTAATCGCCTGGGAAAAAGGGTCCTCTGCATAATATCCATGCACATCAGGCGCTCAAATGCACGGCGGGATGATGTGAGGCATGTCTTGGAGTCCTTTTCTCCTGCGAGGCCTCAGGTGCCGCATTGCACTGTGAAATGACTTTTTAAACATACCTTGCCTCCTTTTCCTCATGCTCTCAGAAGCATCTCCCCATGTACAATTACAAGGTAAAGACAATGCAACCTGTTTTGTTTGAAAGTGTCGGTGGTTTGGTGCACACAATGAAGTGGGCATTACTGCTCTTGTTCCTTACTGCATACGTGGTGCTTTTGCCATCTTCAAAGCATTTTCCAGCCATGAACTAAGAGCACACGCATTAGCTGAGAGCGCACACCCCTCCCTAAGCAGCTGATGCCAGGCACATCCCACGAAAAACTTCCAGAATGTGACACACCACTTTTGATGCAAATAAAATGACGCCGTATTTCATCAGCTCTATTAAAAGTACTTAAGTAATTGAATTAATGAAACTCTAAAAAGCCTTTAAGAGACAAATGTGGTACGCACCTTTCTTCTCACTCTTTTCTTATTTTCCCCGTTGAATGTCTTTTGTTGGCTTTTTTTATTTGTTATCCTACTGTTTGCTTTTCGATGCGTGGTTTTGCTGGGTTTTTTTGTGTTATGATAGCTGATTTCTCTATTTTGCAGCATCGGTACTGTTATAGTTTCTGCAGCAAAGGAAAGCGTCATCTGCAAAGTAGCATGAGTATGACTGGAAATACCTCATCTTTCATATTAATTTTTGCAAACACTGGGTTTTTATTTCCATTGTGTTCATTCGCCTTTGCTGTGCGTACCTGCCTTGCCCCCTGGACTGTGCTCACCTCTTACATCTTCAGCCCGATTTCCCATCTTCATGTGATCTTTCATGCTTCTCTAACCATCCTTCCAGCTGTGGATGTCCAACGTCCAGCCCCTCCGAACCCACGTTGGCTTTGTTTTTTTCCCACCATCCCCGTAGCCAGCTTGGGTATTTCTTCCTCCTTCCCCCCGTAGCTTTTCCTTGAGCAGGGCCAGCCCTTCCTAGGCAGACAGTCCAGGCGAGGTGAGACAAGATGACATGCTCTGCACAGGACAGAAATATCATCCAGGGCCATGTGCTCGGCTCACTCACCCTGCCTTTTGGGAAAAAGGAAACAGTGGCCCCAGAGTTGTCATATCCTGCTGACTTTTTTGGGTGGCTCCAGTGTGGTGAGAGGCCATTGATGGAGCTTTCTGCTCCGGACGCTCCCCGATCTGTAGGTAGACAGGAGTATCTGTGAGCTAACCGCAGCCAAGGCAGTAGTTTAGTGACACCCAATTTCCAGCCCAGTTTGAGGTTTTATTTCAGGCTGAATTTAAGCATTTTGGGTGCGGCTCACATTTCTTCCCCTCTTTGCTTTTTCAGGGGAGGCAGATGAAGAAGCCTTTGCTGAGGAGTGCAGACGGAGAGGACAACACGCCCTGCCTTTCCAGCCGACCAACCCTCGCCTGCTAAAGTCTCACAAGCCTGCCAGTTCCCCCAAATATGCCTATCATTACAATAGCGATGAGGTGGAAGAACAAGATAGAAGCCGGGTTACAAGCAGCTTGGAGACCCCTTTTTATTTATCAGGTGTGCACAAGCATGTTGATGAGAAATGCACAGAAAAGGAGCCATCAGCTAGTCAAAAGGAAAAAACAAAAAGCCAAGCAAGAGGTTGTTGCTGTGTGTTGACTTAATGTTAGCTCCCCGGTAGATAATAAACGGCAGCTTGTGTGCCTTCATCCTGCATTAGCTCTGCTCTTCAATTTAGTCTAGTCTAGATTCACAAATGCCCTGGGATATTCAAGGATCCAGGGCAAATACTGTTATGCTGCTGAAGTGCCTACGCTCTTTGTTCTTAGAAGTGAAGGCCTTTTAGAGATTAACTCATCACAGTATTTTGCACATTCATTTATTTAAATTGTGCTTGGCTTCCTTGCCGAAGGAGAAGTTCAGCAACTTGATACTATTTCTGGAAGCTGCAATTTTAGGCACCTAAATCCTAATAGAGAGGGCTAAGACTGTTCAGGCAAACGCAAAAGTGCAGTGACTGTCCCGGTTATTTTTGGAAGTAATTAGTCCTTTGATATATTTCCTGTCTGTAATGTTTCGGCAATATAGTCCAGAGGCTATCTTGGACAACAAAGTCCTCTTAACTACTTGATTTAATTTGAACCTGTGGTCAAAGATCATCCAGGACTGCCAGGACAGGTTTTTCTGAAACATGAAGACGCTTTTCTACTCGGATGCCCAAACCAAGGGCCCTTCTCAGTAGTGCTGAATTAGGTGAAGTGCTGGGAAGCGAGAGCGTATGAGGCTCCTCAGGGTGGTAAACACAGCGCATGAAAAACATGCACTGTACCCCAAAACATGCACTCACATACTCCCAGTGCTGTACCAACTGCTGCTGCGTTTATGAGCCTTTAAATCTAAGTGTCTTCTGTGTGGAAGACCTGAAGATATCATGTGGATGACAGCTTGAAAAAACGGAAACATTCAGATAAAGGTCTTCCTGATCAGTTGCTGGAAGTTTTGTCTCTTTAGGGATGGCTAAGTTGAATCTTTTCTCTTAAAAAAAAAAAAAAAAAAAAGTTTAAAATTTCTCTATAGAAGCCTGGATGTACCCTCTGGGCTGATGTTCTGAAATCTCCCATGCAAGGGTTACAGGTTCTGTCTCCTGTGTCGGTAGCTGTCAAAACAAAACTTTGGCTCTGCATTTGGAGACCTGAGGTTCTCTGCAATCATAGCAATACTTCGTAGTGGTTTCCAAAGAGCATCTGAGTTTGACACGCACCTTGCAACTTTTGGAGCAATTTTTAAGACCACTTAGGACTTCTTGCTGTGAATCTATTTATGCTCCAAGATGCACAAGTTTGCCATTAAAATGAATTTCTAGAGGTATTTTGCACAATCACAAAATCCTCTCTTCTACCAGTAGATTGTGAGTTACCATAAAAGGTTCGGGGTGAAAACTTGATTACAGTAAGACTAAGGTTTTACTGTTGCTTTAAATATTTTGCCTGCTGTTCCCCTTATGGACAGGGCTGCTGAAGGACTGGTTGAGTCAGTCATAAAAACCTACGTGAGTGTCTTAATCCCTCCCTGGGAAGTTTGTGCACAAGCCCTGGCCAGTAATGCCATTTTTCATGGGTGTTCACCTCTGCCGACTGCCTTGCCCAGCAAGCAGGCTTCACCAGGACAGCTCTGTACTTATACAGACCACTTACTTGCTCCCGCTTGGCTTCTCATTGATCACTGCAACAGCTGCCGTGCTTACACGGGCCAGCGTTGGGAAAGAATAGCATCTTTTTCTGCCTTGGTCCAAAGCCCACTCGATTCGGTGGCAAATAGTTATGTTCAATGGCCTCAAACTGGGTGCCGTTCCACCGTGAATCAGACGGTTTTGCCACTGCTGGCGTGTGGCTCTTGGCAGCAAGACTGCACGGCAGTTTGAGACGTTGTCCCAGTTAGAGCACCTCAAGCAAATCCTCAGTTGTCAGTGATTCACCTGCAGTGAGATGGTTTTCTTTTCCCAGCTCTAAGAGTGGGAATGTTTACTTTGTAAGTCTGTAGCAATTTAAATGAAGGAAAAGGGGATAGGTTTCATCTTGACTGGGCGGTGGGGAATCCCTCTGGAAGTGGCTGCCTCTCTCTAGCACCCAAGGAGAAAGGCTGGCTAACTCGTTTAGACTGCCAACCGATATCCAGAGGTGAGATGAATCCTCTCCTTAGTCAGGATTTCCAGTCATTACAGTAGGTTTTTAATAAAAAAAAAAAAAAGAGTTAAATTTGATTCTCCATCTAGCACTGACACTTTGCGTTTTAGTAGAAATTGCTCTGGGTTTGATGTTGTTCCTGGTTTCATAATAGCCTTTAGAATAAAACTTGTACTCTGAAGTCGCTGTGTATCTCAAACAGTGCTCTAGCTCCACCCAAGTAATTTTTTAATAAGAATTCAGATACTACAAGTAATGCACTGCCTGATTGTATGATGTATGGCTGACTGGTGATATCCAAGCTGTACCAAAGTGGTATTCATGCCAGCAGAGACCTGGGGGTTACAGCCACTAATGGTAGGGGTAGCGGTAACTACCCCTAAAAACCTGCTTCTCTGGATTTGAGAGTTTTGATCTTTATCTAGCAAGAATGGTTGAAATGTTTAATTGTTAAAATACTGAAAAATATACGATATGAAAGATCATTATTTGCAAGATAATATTGCAAGGTTTGCTCTTCCTTTTGAATGAAATAGCTTGCATTAACCTAAAACTTACAACATTAATAATTCATTTTTGCTGCATTTTCACCCGCTGGTGTCTCTGAAAAGGAAACCACTTTAAAAGAACTAGCTTAACTAATCTTGATCCTTTCCTGGCATGGATTCCTCTGCTGGAAAGTTGAGCTATTTGTACTTTATTACATCTTTAATGCAGTCTCCGTTCTTTTTACCGACATACGGTTTCCTGAGTTACACATTACTAACTAATAAAATTGATGTGCTTGGTTATCCAAACTAATTACCATATAATTCCCTCACATACTTGTATTTGGGCATGTAATGGAAAGAGAAAGGAAAGCAAAGCCGCTGTTTTCTGTGGAAATCTAATAGGCGAGGAATGCTGGAGGTGGGAGGGAGTTCACTCTCCCTTTGCTCCACATCCCCTGCCTGTAACTGTGCGTGAGTGGGACGGGGTAACAGACGTACTCTTCTGCGGGCAGAGGGTGGGAAGATTGCCTGGTGGATTTGGAGGCTGGGTCGTTGTTCCCTGGCTTGGCCAGAGCTGCCTGTACGCATATCTTTTTGGCTGCTAGTACGAGAGCATCCCGTTACCCATTTGCTTCCCATAGAAGGTGGCTGGGTTGCACATGGAAGGGCTTCCAAGGCTGCATAGCCTTGCAAGCTTTTGCTTGCCATGTGGGAGTAAAACCTTGGACTCTAGTTAGTAATAGTGTTACCTTAATTAATAGCAGGCGGGCAGGTTGTATCCGGCTTGGTATGTTCTTGTAGCAATTCTAGGCAGAATTGGTAATGAAAATAGTATGGTGAGCAAGCATGAATGAAGGCCCCAGTAAGTTGCTAAAGCTTTTCAGTCCCCTAAAACATCAAAGTTGGAATTACATCACTGGGTTGGCCAGTGAAACTGGAGAACTTGGCCCTTGGATTTAACAGTGCGGATAATTAAATAGTGGAGCGGCATACCTAGACGGGGTGGGATGGTTTGTCACCTCAGGTCTTTATGTAAAGGCGGGTTCTCTCTCCGCGATCTCTGGCATGGGCAGGAGCTGTGGATGAGGCGAGAGAATTAATAGGTCAAATTGTGGTGTGTGTTGGGCAGTAGCTCTGGCTGAAAGAAGGGAATGTGAAAGTGTAGTGTAAAGCTGTAATTGTAAATTGAGTCACGCATGAAATTATACTGAAGCTGTGATCTGGGGTGAATTTTTATATTGGCATATGCAAGTGTGGTCAGTCTAAAGTAACAGATGGTGGCTGCAACTCAGAAGCAAGCTAGCTACCTTTTGAAATAACAATTTGTTGTTTTGACTAGAGAGGTATTTCTAAGAGCAGAAAATTAGAAAGCACGCTACAGAACCCAACACGCACGCTCCCCACTGCCCTGTTAAAGCTCTGTGTGCATGTTGGAGCCATGACTGCTTTGCTGGTTTGAAGGAGGGCAAAAGAATGGCTGCAATCTTAGCAAAAACTTAGTAGTTCTTGAAAACCATTTTCTCTGGGACTTGAGCAGAAAGCATGAATCCCTCCCACCCCCAACCTCAGTGCTTCAGAGCCTGAAAGTGGAAGGAAGCTCCTCCAAAGTCTTCACCTTTGCAGGAGATCTATAAAAATCAGGCCATGGCCTTTATTACTGACTGATGTGGGTCAAGAAGCAGAAATGCTGCGTGTTAATCATCGGTCGTGACTGAACACCTTGTTTCCTTCTGCTGACTCCTGCGCTCTCCTGTGCTGGCAGAAGGAAGGTGGAGCAGACCCGTCGCTGCCCTCTGCATCCTGGTAAAGCAGGCAGACGTCAGGCAGGGCAGGAAGAAGTAGGTTACCACAAATGGGTTGGGTAGGAGCATTTTCCCCAGGACGCTTGCTTGTCCCTTTGGATCAATCGCTCGATACGCACACTCCCTTGCAGTTGCCTCCCAAGAATGTGACGAGTTTCATAGTGACTGAACAAACCTGTGACTTTGGAGGTGCAGATGGCAGAGAAGTAGAAAGCTAGAAGGAAAGTCAATCTGGGACCCAGCAGAGAGGCTTCCCAATTTGTTTTGGTCCTTGCTGAGTGGCTGAGGGAGTTGCTACTAAGCATTGTTAGAAGTTGGTTTCGGTCTTCGGTAGCTTTTCGAAAGCTGGAATAGCTTCTGTGCTCTACGGTTCTTCTGGAAGTAGAAGAGAGGGGGATGAAATGGGAAGAGCGAGTCAGCAGATGCTGTTTGTTTTAGACAAGAATTATCCAGGTTGTAAGACAGGTGTAATTCCAAATGGTGTGGATTCTTGCTTCATCCATCTCTGCTCCTGGCAGCTGACAAAAGCAAGAATGTACCAAGTTAGGCTGATATCTGTCTGCATTGGACTGAATCTGTTTTCCGACTGTCAAATCTTGGGGAAGCTCTCAGCAACCTGTTCTCCCCCCACCCTTCTCTAAGACTCTCTATCTTAATGTAACACATTTCTAGACTTTAGATAGCTAACGATGGCTTCTAAGGGTGGAAATTTGCAAAGCCCATCTCCAAGGCCAGAACTGTTTGGCTGAAGCCAGTTCAGTCAGGGGACTAACTATGGGAAGTCTCCACGACTGCTTCGTGATGCTGGAGACTCGCCAGGACACAGGTTCACTGCAAATTAATCAAATAGTAATGGGGCTGCTGCTTCCTAATTCAGATTTTGTTCTCTCGTGACTTTGGGGCTAGTCTTGTAACCAAGGCAGCTAAATATGCTTTTAATTAGTGCTGGTTGAAGTATTCAAGTGAAATAAGCACCAAAGGGTTTCATCTTTAGTGTGCAATTTTTATTTTTACTAGGAGCTGCTTCACTTGTTCAGATCAGGTTTTTGGCTGTTATCACCCAGCATAGCATCACTAGTGCTAACAGACTGGCAAAGTTTGACCTATCCTTTCTTCTTAGGTGGGGGTAGAAAAGGAAATGGTCAAGAGTGAAATTATTTATCATAGCAGGCTCGAAACAGAAAAGGCCTGGCAGTTTTCTCTTGAGGAATACTCTGTATTTGTGCGTTATCTCCTACTTTGGCCAATCTGTGTCTGTGTGTCAGTGATAACACTTGAAAGATTTCCACTTTTCACCCTTATCATTCCAGAGGCTGGTAGGAGACCATGTTGTCAAATGCCTAGATATCTTCATACCACATTATTTTAACATTTGAGTTGCTTCATTTAGAAGACAATGAATTATGTGGCATTCATTTCAAGTCATAATTTACATTGACTCACAGTCTTTTTAAGGAAGAGTTGCTAGAATTGCTTTCAAAATCTCAAAGATTTGAAGAAAATGGACTGTTGCAAAAAAAAAAGTATTATGATATAAAATAGCAGTATAAAACGCAATCATGCCTGTATGTGGAAGCCTTTTAAAAATACTGCCAGTGTTTTGAGAATGAAAAATGAGAAAATTATGAAGCTAATAACCTGTTAGGGTTTAATGATCCTTTCCCAAATATCTGTGTTAATGTTTCATAGTTATTACATGAACTAGTTCTGATCATCTGATATGATGCTGTTTTTCCCTCCAGTAAAGGGAAGAGTCCTTTGAATAACACCCTTCAGATGACTGATTCTCAAGAGTCAGCACGTCTCTTCCGCCTCCATTGGCCTCTGTGGGAAAGCAAAGAGATGCTTGAGCCCTTCTGGGATGTCTCCCCTACAGCAGTAAATTAAATGCCAAGGGGTCCTATTTTTGACGATGTATAGGTGACCGAGGGGCTGACATTGAAGTAGACTTCATGGATGGAGTTCTTAATTAGGAGATGTCCATGCAGCGTCCCCGGGGACAGGATTGTAGCTCAGGAGGGTGGCAGGGTGCAGGGAAAACGCAGCGTCATCTGCAATTCTGCAAAGCACTGCCAGTTTTTCTCTTCCTTAAACAATAAAACTGGTTTCTACTCTAACTTTGCGCAGGCTAATCGCTCATGGCAGAATTTCTAAATAAATATCCTGCTTCTTGGCTCAGATGATTGCAAAAGATGAAGTCATGCTGTTGATACAGCGTAGGAGCTAGAATGATAACCTAGGAACAGTTTCCCTTTGCTGCAAGGGAGTGTATTTCCTCTAATGCATAAGCTTTTGATAATGTCTCAAGTGATTTTAACCCAAAGACTATCTCGTGGTTCTCCCCAAGTCTTAAACTTAAACCGAAGAACTGCAGTTCTGCCGTGGGCACAACCCTAATTGCACTTGGGAGAAGCTCTGATTAGGAGCAAATTTCATCCCCAGCGTGGCTTCATACTCCTCCGCCCTCCCACCGCTTCCTTTTCCCATCTTAATTTTGCTATTGGTGCTAAATTAATGGAGAACCGGACGCAATGGTGGCACGGCTTCCTCGGGGTCACATCTGCCTGCCTGCAGACAGAATGGGGGAAAGAAACAGATTTCCAGACAGGCGGATCTGTGCCCTTCCTGGGCTGTTCCTCTGACTCCCAGCCTTGCCCCTCAGCTGGCTTGCAGGGGCTCCTCCGCTCCATGCTGGCCCTGCTCATTGGACTGTGCTGATTCCCAGTGGCAGAGCACCGCTGTGCTAAAAGATCCCTCCAGCTATCTCAAAGCATCACAGAATGATTATCTGAGGGAAATGTTTGCTAGCTTCAAGTTCAGATTTAAAGTGCACTTGGGTAGATGTGGTGTTGGTTCTGCACAGTTCACTGTCCGTGCAAGTCTGCTTGCAAGTTGCATTTTACTGCAAGTTTGGAGGAAAGAACGAGATGCAGAGCAAGAACTGTTTTCCAAGCATCTTTGTGGGGAAAAAAAAATCGTTGAGATGATGATCACATGGCTGGAAGCTTGTGCCTACTGAACCGGTAGCAAATAATTGTTGCTTGAACTTAATACTTTCATGCACCATTGGAGCTGCAGTAGAATATAACCTATGGTGCATAGTTAAGCGTGAGCAGGCTGATGACCTGCATATAAAATGCGTATTGGTAAACACTGAGCACCTTCTTATTC